GGGGGGGGGGGGGGGGGCCACGAGCCAGGTGGAGCAGTCCAGGTCTATTCAGTGAACGTCCACTCACTCCCACCTGGGTGGCGGCCTCAGCCTTTCGGGGAAGACATCAGAGCGCTGAGTGCCAGCACCTGCTCGTTCATGCACCGCCCTCCACAGGACAAGGGAGAGCCAGCGGGGGCCTCCTGAGCAGACACAGTGGTCCACTGCCAGCAGGGGCTGTGGGGAGGGGACGGTGCAGGCGAGTGAGAAGTGCTTCTGAGGCTGTGTCTCCTGCCCCCTCTCCCCCCACCCCGCCCGGCTGCACCTCCCCAAGTGGCGGATGTGGCTTCCGGGGGCTGTGGCCCAGGCCTGGGTCCTGGTCCACTGGGGGCACCTGGGCTGAAGCCTGTGCCGGGGGCCTGGCCCTGTGTCCCCAGAACTCATCATCACAGCGGGAGGGGAGAACGTGGCCCCTGGGCCCATCGAGGAGGCCGTGAAGGTGGAGCTGCCCATCATCAGCAACGCCATCCTCATCGGGGACCAGAGGAAGTTCCTGTCCATGCTGCTCACCTTGAAGGTGCGTCTGGGGGTCTGGCCTGGGAGGGACGGCCAGACTGTGGGTCTAGCCCAAGCAGAGGGCACGCCAGCAGGGACACACGTGGGTCTCCTGACTGTATCTGGGACCACCTATCAGCTGCCTGCACAAGAGCCAGTGTAGCTCGTGGAAACACCCTCTGCCCTGCACACCCCACAACTGCTAATGTGCTGCGCCCCCCCACAACTGCCAATGTGCTGCGCCCCCCCAACTGCTAATGTGCTGCGCCCCCCCACAACAGCTAACGTGCTGCGCCCCCCAACTGCCAATGTGCTGCGCCCCCCCAACTGCCAATGTGCTGCGCCCCCCTACAACTGCCAATGTGCTGTGCCCCCCCAACTGCCAATGTGCTGTGCCCCCCAACAACCGCTAATGTGCTGCACCCCCCCGCACAACTGCTAATGTGCTGCCGTGACCGTCCCTCAGTCCCAGCTCAGCCCAGCTCCCAAGGGCCGCTGCCCCCGCTGCCCCATTGCGTGCTCGGAGCCCAGGATGCCAAACAGGGCAGAGGTGGTCCCTGCTTTAGGCCGTGTGTACGGCCAGGGGCCTTATGGTGTCCTGACAGCGCGGGCTCCACGCAGCTGGGGAGGCACCCTACCCACTGGACTGGTGGGCCGTCTCTCTGGACCGGCTCCGGGTGAGGCACACCCTTGGCCCCAGCAGTGAACCCTCCTCCAGCCGGGGCTTCCGTCTCGTGGGGCGAGACCTGGCCAGCTCTGACCTCTGGCTTTTCAGTGCACGCTGGACCCACACACCTACGCCCCAACGGACCAGCTGACTGAGCAAGCCGTGGAGTTCTGCCAGCGGGCAGGCAGCAGGGCCACCACCGTGTCCGAGATCATGGCGAGGAGGGACGAGGCCGTGTACCGGGCCATTGATGAGGGGATCCAGAGAGTGAACATGAGGGCCGCTGCCCGGCCCCACCACATCCAGAAGTGGGCCATCGTCCACAAGGACTTCTCCATTGCGGGCGGAGAGCTGGGTAGGGGCTCCCTGCTCGTTCTCAGTACTTGGGGGTTGTGGGGGGACAGAGGCAGGGCCTGGGGGTGCCTGGTGGGGAGCAGCACACTGAGCACAAAGCCCCTGATGGCCACCTCTATCCAGTGGGAGGACACGGCCGACCCGGGGCATGGGTGGCCGTGCAGAAAGGTGCTGGAACTTTCTCAACCTTTAACTCTGCTTTGGCTGCGGGACCCTTTCCCCTGAAATCACAATGGGACCAGCAGGCCGACACCAAGGCCCCCTGGTGCCTGGTGGGGGCGAGCCCAGCGGCGCCCCCTGTGGAGGTGGGGATGAAGCCCTCCTGCATCTCGGTCCACAAGCCGCGGCAGTCTGGTGCCGCCCCAGCTGGCCTGGGGGGTCGCTCTCGGCTGAGGCACGCTGGGGTGTCCGTGCCACAGGGCGGGTGGGAACTGCTTCCTCCAGGAAACACCCTCCAGCCCACTGAGGCCGAACCAGGGTGCAAGCACTCAGGAGTGCTAAGCTGAGCCCGGGTCCCGCCCACACGTCTTCCGGGGATTCTCCAGGCCTCACCCTGCCCTTCCACCTGCTCTCTTAGGTCCCACGATGAAACTGAAACGGTTCATAGTCCTGGACAAGTATAAAGACGTCATCGATTCCTTTTACCAGGAGCAGAAAAAGTGACCTGCCGAGACAGTAGGCCTCCCAGGGGGCGTCCGAGCTCCAGGTGCCCCTCAGTTCGTGCAAGAACTCTGGCAAGTCCAGGAGGTCCCTGGGTCAGGGTGACGCAGCGACGTTTGCAAGGCAGCTGACGATTCCAGGAAGCCTCACATGCGGGTAGTTTTAATTCTAAGCACTGCCTTTTGTTCAGTGACAGGAGATCGGCTCTGCCCCTGGGCCTGACAGGGCTATGGCCCCCGGCCCTGGTGCCAGGCAGACGCAAGGGCTGCGGCTCACCTGCCAGGCGGGGACACGTGCCCTGTGCAGGGGAGGGCAGGGCAGGGCGGCCGAGCCACTCTGCGCGTGCTACCCCCCCCGTTAGCGCCCCCTAACGGCTGGCCCGCCCTGATCTCCAGATGCTGCCCTCGGGCACCAGGCTGTCCTGCCCTTCGTTCGCACTTGCCTACTGATCTTATGCTTAATAAAACTGCCGCTGCCTAAGTGACTGTACAGGCATGTAATCTGAATATTAAACTATTTAATAGAACTGCCAACAAGCACCTGATTGTTCCTGTCAGCAGAGCAGGTGGGACCAGTCCCGAGAGTCGTGCACATTTGACCCGCGGGACGAGGCACCACAGGTCTGAGGCCATCTGGGCAGGACAGCTTTCTGAAAACACCACTGGCTGGTGCTGGGATGTTGCCACCGCACCACCCCCTTCACCCCAAATACCTGGGCCCAAAATGGCCTCTGGCGCTTCACCAGAAAATGGGTGGAGAAAGCATACACCCAGTCAGTTCTGAAATTCTTTATTAGGGAGAACCCGAGGGTCCCGGGGAATTAGCACAATGCAACAGAAGAGAGGAAGCTGCAGCTTGAACAAAGTAAAATACACGCAGGACTCGGGTCTGGCTCCAAGGCTGATAAAGCACCTGGACAGGGTATTTGCTAAGAACCCCCTGTGATCTGGGTGCTGTATGCAGAGTCCCCAGGCCTGCAGAACCACCCGAGGGGCAGCTGTTCATGAAAACCGTGACCGAGTCTGCTGCGGACAACGTGCTCGGGGGAGGGTGGGGGACGGGGTCACAGCTGAGCCCAGCCCCCGCCACGGGCTCCTCTCTCACTGGCGCTGGGGGGTGGCAGTGATTTGGTGTTTCGGGGAAGGGGGGACAGCCACTGAGACAGGAAAGTAAAGGCCAGCACCCCCAGTTAACCGTAGCCGAAACATTCGTGGTCAGGCTTCGGGCGCTCTGGGCCGAGCGAGGTGCACGCCGCAGGCCCCCGCGGCCACCCAGCGCCGACGCAGAGGCCAGGGGCCGCCTCGCACGTGTGCAGTGAAAGGAAGTCCCCTCCAATCCGTGAAAGCTCCTGCCAGGAAGAGTGCATCTCGAGAGAAACAGAATAATTGAACACGCAGATGCAGGTCTGTGTCCAACACACTACCTATGTCTTAGTCACAAAAATTACATCTCTCGTTACATATTTCTTGGATTTGAGCTCTTTATTCATACTCAGGAATTCACGCGAGGACATACCTGTCTACCTCCCACATCACTAAGAAACATGCGCACCACCTGGCGGCGGCCTGAACTTCCCGGGAACCCGCCCCTGAGCCCGTTCAGCTTCGTAAGAACGTCATCGTGTGCTATCGTGTCAATATTGTCTCATTCCTATTACATTTTTCATAAACCAAGGAAAACAGGGTTTTTCTTTAAAAAGATATATGTTTTTTCTTATTAACTCTGTTTCATATTTACAGCTGAGGAAAAAACGTTTTAACCGAAGTGTAAAGTGATTAACATGGCCAAGATACAGTCCACTGAGAGCCTACAGAAGCACACTGGGCAGACACGTCGTAAATAAAACAGGCCCTCAGGACGAGTCCTCGGAGAGCAGGCCCCTCGCGTCCCTGCACCCTCCGCACAGGTCTGGTTAAGGAAAGGCCGTGTCTAAAACTGTACTGTCAGGAAAGAAGCAAACCGCATATGGGCGCGACACGGGTGTGCTTGGCGGACACGGACTCCACGCGGAGGAGCCTCAATCCAAATCTCGGACTCGACGACAGATCTCCTCCGTGAAGTCCGAGCACTTGGCATTGCCTCCGAGATCTTTCGTTAAGCTCTGAGAAAAGACAAAAAGCCAAGGTAAAATGGATCCACACGCTAAACAAAGCAAGGGTGTTTTTCCAGAAGGCCTCCAGGGAGCCGCGGGCGAGCGGGTCTGCTTCCCGCTGGAGAGCAAGGCCCCTGCCCAGGAGGACCAAGGGCCCGGAGGGCACACGGGGCACCTTGAGGAGGCCCCGATGCTGCTGTGACAAAGGGAGGCAGGGAGGCTGTCCAAGATGTACCCTCTGTCCCTCCAGGACTCAGAGGAAAACACTTGATTATGGGCGTTTAAATGAAAGAATACATCCCTTGGGGAATTTGTAACCCTTAAAAAATATACTTTAACTTATTTTTGGAGACTGAGAAACAAATACTAAGGTAATATTTGAATCACTTTTTTTAAGTAAGCTCTACGCCCAACATGGGGCTTGAACTCACACACCACGATCAGGAGTCTCATGCTCTGCTGACACAGCCAGCAGGGCGCCCCTTGATCACGCCTGTTAAACTTCCCTCTTAGAAGAGAAATCCTCCCACCCGGCCCCTGGGGTCTCTACCAGCCTGACGTCCTGCAGCCCCAAACAGACCTCAGTCCGCATAGCTGTCTCGTCCCACTCTGTGCTGCACAATTAAAAGGACGGACCAGGGGGCGCCTGGGTGGCTTAGTTAAGCGTCCGACTTTCGCTTAGGTCATGATCTCGCGGTTCGTGGGTTCGGGCTCCGCATCGGGCTCTGTGCTGACAGCTCAGAGCCTGGAGCCTGTTTCAGTCTGTGACTCCCTCTCTCTCTGACCCTCCCCTGCTCATGCTGTCTCCCTCTCTCTCTCCTAGAAATAAATAAAACATTAAAAAAAAAATAATAAAAAAAAATAAATAAAAGGACGGACCAGGTCATTCCAGCCTCTGTCTGCGGGCCCTACAGCGAAGCTTCTCAAAACAAATCACACGCCTTGAGGCCCAGCCGGTGGCTCTCAGCCCACCGTCGAGGACGCCGCAGAGCTTGCTGGGGAAGAGCCAGACCGCGTGTGAGCCCCGACCGCAGGCAGGAGCGGTGGGGTCTTGGACAGGTTAGTCTCTCTGGGCCCTGGTCTCCTCATCTATGAAATGGGATTATAGTATCTGCTTCATAGGGTAGATTGGCTCTGATGATCGTGTAAAGAACATAAAACCATGTAAGTCTGTACCGTGAGCCACGATCACTTTCATGGGAGTTGTGTTGTACGGTCACAGATGCTCGTCCCATGCTGTCACAGCACTGTGCTGTCGAGGCAAATGTATCTGTTGCCCGGGTCCCAGCCCTGGAGGCCCGAGACCTTAGCTCACCCGTCCCCCCCACCGCCCCGTGACACCCCTCGGACTTGTGTCTGTGGGGGAGGAAACGCTGTCTAGAAAAGTGAACGCACTTGACCCAGATAGTGCACTGACCCCACAAGACATCGAGGCCTAACTGGCTCTGCCTCCCAGACCCTCCGCATGGGCCCTCCCTTCCCTGACCTAAGACGTGGCTCCACCCACGGAAAACACACAGGCACACCGCCGCCTTCACGCAGACACGCCTGAGTGCCGCACGGCAGCTGATACCTTTCCGTCCTTAATCGTGGCAAAGCACGCGGCCTCGACGCGCGCGGCGTGGGCGGAGAGCCCCATGTGGCGCAGCATCATCACAGCGCTGAGCAGGAGGGCCGTGGGGTTGGCCATGTCCTTGCCTGCGATGTCCGGGGCTGTGCCGTGAACCTGCCCGTGGGAACAGAGTGCAGTGAGGGGGAGCCCGCAGACAGCGCTGCCCTGGGGACGCGGGGCCCCGCCACCTTTCCTCGCTGGCGAGCATTTCTGAGCGGGTACCGGGCCCCTTCACACACGGGTCTGAGAAGTCAAGTGTCAGAAAAATAAAGAGTAATGGGGATAAAAGTGCAAAAAACAGGAGCTAACAATCTTCCCCAACTTTCGAGAAGATGTTCTAACTGGAAGAGGACGCATAATCAGTAACACGCACACAAAGTAAAGAGGGAAATAAAGGAGTAAACCAAGCTCACACAAAGACCCTACACAAGGCATCAGTTTCTTTGACAACAGGGAAAACCCAGCACCTGAAACCGACTTGGGCCGCTCCGGGCTCTCGAGCTGTCCCGAGCTCTGCCCCAGGCGTCACCAGGGTCCTTACCGACTCAAAGATGGCGACCCCGTTGGCTCCAATGTTGCCACTTGGTGTCACGCCGAGACCGCCGATCAATCCCGCACACAGGTCACTGCGAGCAGGAGAGCATTTTGAGGCTGTTCTGAAAAGTGACACTTCTCACCCGGCACCCAGACATCGGTTTCTGGACACCACTCTCCACCCAAGGGAACCAGCGCTCCTCGGAGAAACGGCCGAGCCCGGACCGCAGTGAGGAAGCAGGACGAGCCGGGGGCGCCCTGCTGCGCCAGAAAGCAACCGTGGGCTGTGCCCAGAGGACACGGCCCAGAGGGACCTGCACTGGCCAGGTCGGGGCAACCCAAGCACCAATGCGATGCCGGCTGCGGCGGTACCACCCACGGTGACGTCCACGCGTCCAAACGGAGATGGACGTGCACGGACAGGCTCGGGCGCACGGAGCACCTGCCAGAAGGCCCTTCCTCCCACTCACCCTTTTCTGCCAAATCTGCCATTCACATCAGTGAGACTCGGGGGGGAAAAACATGTTTTTCAAAGACAGACCACAGCTGTTGTACCTCCAGCCCCTCCTGCAGGCTCGGGGGGAGGCCCAGGCGTGGGGGCTGGACACTTCGAGGTCTAAATCGAGGCTTCCCGAAGCTTCCAGCGAGTTACTTACGGTTCTCTGAGCCTCAGCTGCCTTATTTATAAAACAGAGGCAATATCTATTCTATGGGATGGTCGGGATTAAATGATATAACGGAATAAAAGAACTTAGCAATGACTTTGACTTATTTCTCAGAAGTTAGTTGCCCTCTAGGTCTGTTCTAAGGCCCAAGTTGAGCTACAGATGAAGGCGTGATGGCCAGTGTCGTGTCACGAGAGGGGAGGACAGCAAGGGACCAGCGGGGGGGTGGGGGGGCAGCCAGGGAGTGAGAACTCGGTGTGGTTAAGCACTGTGGGTGCCGGCACACAGGAAGCCCCTGTACCTTCCTGCAACCTTTCCATAAGCCTGAAATCATGTCAAAAGTCACAAAAATTCTGAACAAGTGACCACGCACTAGGTAGCTATACAGGACAACACACTAAAATCACTAACCAGCAACACCTCACGAAATGGGAAGAGGGACTCATCGTTAGGGAGCAGCAGCCCGGGGCCGATCGGACTTATGGGTGAACGACCCGCCCAATGCATAATCGTCGCTAGAACCCATGCAGCGCATGCTGTATCCTGACAAACTCTGTAAGCCTTTACTTCAGGACATTTACCAATAAATCAGGCCAACAAGGTGTAGCCGGACTCACCTGAGGATATCGCCATACAGATTCGGCATAACGAGAACGTCAAATTGGGACGGATCCTGGACCATCTGTGAGGAATACATTGGTGCCTTGAGCGACCAAAGCCGCACAGACTCGCACGGCACTGGGCAGAAGGCCGCAGGGAGGGAAGCATGTGTACTTACGTTCAGACATACTGTATCAAGATACATCTCATTAAATTTAATATCTTTACAGTTCTCAGCAACTTCCCTGCATTTTTGTAGAAAAAGCCCATCTGACATCCGCCTGTATTAATTAAATAAAAACTGCTGAAGGAAAGACTTGCAGAAAGAAAAGGATCAGATCAAAGTTAAACAATGTTGGTTCCAGAAGCCCAGATGTCTGATTTCAATTATAGTGAAATTATTTTTCAGGCAGTTAATAAAATGCAAACTGAAAATGTCTTGGGATATTTCCAGAAGCACAAAAGGATAAAAATATAAAATAGTTTGATCATAAGAAAGACTACTAGTTTTAACAGTCTCGTAAGAATTATGAAATGTGTATTAACAAAATGTTAAAATTGCTTTAAAAGACTAACTCATCCATCACTTAAGTGGTTTTACTGTCATACATGCGCAACACTACTCCCAGGCTCTGAAACCGCTTCCGAAGCCACCGCTGGCCTTAGACGCAGCAGGGGAGGGGCTCACCCCGCACGAGGGAAGCCCGGCTTGTGGCCATCGCAGACGTGCCCGGTTCTGCTCTGACAGAAGCGCCCTGAGACTCGCGCGGCCTCACTGGGCAGCCACAGCTACTGGGGTCCGTGTCCAGTGTCCTCTGAGAGCTCTCAGGCCCTCCTCACACCCCAGTCCTGGGCTCCTGGCCCCCCGCCTCCCCCCATCACCGGGGGAAGGACGGGGCGCCGCCAGCACTCACATGATGTTGGCCTTGTGCACGGCCGTGACGTTGCTGCGGTGGTTGTTGCGCGCGTACTCAAAGGCGAACTCGGCGATGCGCCGGCTGGCCTCCTCGGTGATGAGCTTGATGCTCTGCACAACGCCGTCCACGATCTGAGGAGAGCAGTCCTGCCTCACCAGGCTGCCGGCAGCGACGCGCCACCACCACTTGGGGGCTCGCGTCGCGCATGTGTGGTGTCGCTGGGGTTAGTAACATGGACCCCAGCCCTATGAGGTAGGCAGAGTAACGCCCACTGCACAGATGAGGAAAACTGAGGTGCAGAGATGGCCTCGTGCCGTCCCCAGGACATGCCTGTCAAGGGGATTCTAACTTGAAACAGAGAACACACCCTCCTCCCGGCCCCGCCCCCACTGCCAGCCCCCACCGCCCTGGGGGCAAGGTGAGTCCCTCTCTGCCAGGTGTTCTCAACAACTAGGGGTCTGAGCAACTGTCCCAAGAGCAGAGAGCCACTCAAGTAAGAAAGTGTAGAATGAACATACCACATGCTCGATGCCACTGTATTCCCCTTCTGTGTTCTCGCGGATGGTGACGATGTTTACATCAGTGTAAGGGGTTTTGTAGCCCTCGATGGAGACACACGGCCGCACGTTTGCATAAAGGTCAAATGTCTTCCGCAGCAATAAATTCATAGACGGGTGGCCAGCTGCTATTGGGGTCTTTAAAGGGCCTGTAATAAAGAAGGGAACCCACAGGACAACAGGTACAGTCCAGGGGTTTTCTTCCTTTTTTTAGGATTTTGTTTCTAAGTAACCTCCCCATGGAACATGGCACCCAGACCCACAACCCCGAGATCAAGGGTTGCACACTCCTTGAACCAAGCCAGCCGGATGCCCCTTCTTTATAAAGACAAGTACCTAATGTTTACTTGAAATTCCAATTTTGCTTTGTTTCACTTTTCTATCGCAGCTTAGCTAGGGTCCTTCCTTCGGATGAGAAGTAGCTGTGTGGTCTGATGTGAGTGGCCACAAACAAAGGGATACTTTTACAATGACCAAGGGTCACCTGCTAACTCACCCAGGCCACTCCGGAGACGGCATCTGTCTCTAGCTTTACCCTCTGATTCCAATGAAGGAGGAGATCTCCACGGAAGCTTTCCAGAACATTACTGCACACCCTCTGGTAGAGGACCAGGCTGGACAGTGTCTGAACCTTACCAGCATCCAGGAGGGGACACTCCTGCTGTCCGTTAAAAGTGGGTGGAGGGGCGCCTGGGTGGCCCAGTCAGTTAAGCGTCCAACTTTGGCTCAGGTCATGATCTCACGGTTCGTGGGTTCCAGCCCCACGTCGGGCTCTGTGCTGACAGCTCAGAGCCTGGAGCCTGTTTCAGATTCTGTGTCTCCCTCTCTCTCTGACCCTCCCCTGCTCACGCTGTCTCTGTCTCTGTCTCTCTCTCTCAGAAATGAATAAAACATTAAAAAAAAAAAAAGTGGGTGGAAAAAACCGTGACCAAGAGTAAGAAACTTGCCAGAGCCTCCCAGCGGTCAGTGGCAAACAAGAGACGTGAACTTGGACCTGTCTGGACTGAAAGCCTGGGCTGAATGGGAGTCTGGCTTCAAAACACGCCCGTGTTTTGAATCATGACCTGAAGCACGTATTGCTTGGAAGAACACTGAAAACATGAAAAGTATGCACAAGATAAATCTTTCCTCTGACACTGGCCAGGAACACCTTTGTGTTTTTACCTGGGAAAAATACGTCCCCACATGAAAACCACAGCGTGTCACCACCACAAGTGAGATGCTTCGTGTGGTGAGCGCAACATAACGTGCGGACAAGGCGAGTCCCTATGCTGCACGCCTGAAACTAGGATCACGTTGCGTGGCGGCTGTGCTCCAATAAAAAATTTTGAGAAAGGAAGTAAGCGAGCTGCTCACAGGCTGGCTTTTCCCAAACAGTCAGGCCGTGCTTCGCCTCCACGCACAAGCCCTGGACGACAAGCCCACGGCCCCCATCGGGTCCACTACCTTTCAAGCCCATCTTGTTCTTGTCCATGGACTCTTTGGCCTCAGGAGGGATCATCCACTTTCCTCCGGGTCCTTGGATGGCGGTGACGTTGCGCTCCTCCCACTGAATGGGCGCCTGACGCAGGGGCACAGAGCACAGTGAGCTGCGAGTGAGACTCACACGCACACTACGGTTACAAGCTGCTTCACCTGTGGGGGCAGCTGGTGGAAACATACAATTAAGGTCCAGAAAGTTCCTGGCACGCAGGAGATGTCGTTCTCCGCGCTGCCCTGTACGGTCCGCACCTTGCAGCCACCTGCCCGCTTATTTTTTTCACAGCTCTTGATGTGGCTAAAATTAGAGTATCACAAGGAGCAGAGAAACGTCTGCAGAAACATGACAGGGTCCTGGCACGTGGGTGAACCTAGCAATCCTGTGCTGAGTGAAGGAAGCCAGTCACAGAGGCCTGCACAAGAGCTATGCCTGCCAAGTTCCAGAAGAGGCGCACACAGCGACAGAGAGTAGCTGGGCAGCTGCCTGTGGCTGGCCATGGGGCGGGGTTGGGGGGGAGGACAGGTGGTGGGGGGTGGGCAGTGAGGGCTTAGTGACCCTAGGGTTTCCTTCTGGGTGGTGACAGTGTTTGTTCTAAAATTAGACTGTGGTGGCGGCTTCACAGCCCTGCGCGTGTGCCATGACACTGGCTCGGCCTGCACGCTGCAGGGGGGGGGCGGGGTCGTGCAGTACGCCACCTGGGTCTCAGTAAGGCCATTAGAAAAGCCCCCAATACACTGTGTAACCTGTGTGGGCACGAGCCAGCGCCCCCTCCTTTGCGGCCACACCCTCCACGGTACGTGTGACCGGGTCCTTGTCTGCGAGGCGCTCACAGCTGGGAGCGGCAGTCTCCATTCCCTGGGGACTCCGCCACCAGGTGAGCCCATCTCCTGTGCGGGAGGGGGGCTCTGGGAAGCAGAATCAGAGTCGGACAGTTCACAGCTGCCCCGTCCCATCTGCCAGCTGCCAGTACCCCAACCTCCACCGACTTCCCCTGCAGGTGATGCACCTGGCAGCTGTAACTGCCATAATGGAGCATCACGTCACAGCCCAACGTCCCCGTATTCCCCCGAACAAAAGCATTTTAAAGTATCTACCTGCGCGGAAGGCTGGGCTGTTAGAATAATCGCACCTCATACTGGATGACCCCACATCAGAAATTTGTTTTAATCTTTCAAAATCTCCTACACAGTTTTTTGAAATATCCTTTCTATTCTTCTTGGCGGGAGGGCAGAAGCGAGGAGACAGATGAACTGGCGGGGCTCCAGGACCCACCCACATGGCAGCTCGACTCTGACCGCCGAGCAGCCGGCGTGAGCTCGCCGTCCATGGCGGACACAGTGCGGACGTCAGGGGCGTGGCCATGGCCACACGCTTCCACGCCACACCAATGGAACGGTTTATCCTGACTGTGGACTCCAGCTCGCTGAGACGAGTCTCCTGCAACTGTCACTACAGGTATCTTGAAGCGCACTTACTTTGGCTGCATCAAAGATCTTCATCACCGCAGCTGAGATCTCGGGCCCGATACCGTCCCCTGGAATTAAGGTTACTGTCTGAACCTGAATGTAAGAATCACCAAAGAACACAGTAAGAACCAGTTTTTGACAGTCTGGAAAAGAATATCACTGACAAAGAGATGTTTATGCAGGGGGGCTGTCCTCGAGACGCAAGGGCCTTCAGAAAACAGGCGTGTTCCTAAGGGCTCACCACAACGGAGGCAAGAATCAAGAGACTCAATTCTACTCTTTACCTGAGTTCAGAGGCTCTAAACAAACTCAAGTGATGCTCTTTAGAGAAAACAAAAATAGACCACAGAGTAGACTTCCTAATTCATATTTTTTTTCAGACAAACTACAAAGAGTCCAATCAATTCAAGTCTGTGAAAGCAGAGAGAGCAAAAATTCCAGCAATGTTCTCTCGCTGAATCCAGATGGTTTCTCATGAAGCCGCTTTCCTCTCCACTGGGATCCTGGAAAGTTAACTTTCTCACACAATTCGCTCAGTCTTAAAAATACTTCAGACACGTTTCCAAAACACTGCTGAGGTCTGTTTTGGAACTCAGAGAAAATCGGACTTCCAGTCACAAGGCGATCTCTGCTTTTCTGAGTTCCTCTGTGGAACCGGCTCCTTGGTGAAAAATGTCATCTAAATGAGCTCAGGAAAGTTTACTTGTCACCTGTAAGAACAGCACACGTGCTCCTACCTGCAAAGTCTGAGTTAGACGTAGAAGGACAAGTGTGTTAATAATGTGACCCCAATGGTTTTTTTCAAAGGCTTCAAACAATCAAGCCAGTATTTTAAACATAGAAATAAAAATGTGTAAAGGGAAATGACGACAGAGTTCAGTGAGTGAAGGTAATACTCAGACCCTCTCCCCATTTGGAGACCATGCCTGTCAGTATGCGGGGACTTTCTCTGACCTGGAAGTCTGGCCCTGACAGTGGTCCCCGGGCTGCTACACTTTTTTAAAATCACTGATTCAAGTCTCCCTGCGCTTTTGCCTTCCACTGAAACTCACTGAGCAAATTCAGACAATTTCTGAATTTTTCTGTATTACTGAAGAAATCTTCTTAAAATTTAGTTCCTCTTCTTATTTCTTTCAAATATAACCCCCTCCCGAGCAGGCTAATCTTTTTAAAACACGGATAGCCTGAAAACTGACTCATAGCAGCAAGCAATGATCTTCTCACTAGCTTTCACAATATGTGGGAAATGCCAGCGTGGCTGTCCGTGAGCTAGGAGTGCAGGCCGCGTTCTGTGTCTTTGGTACACGCAGAGCCAAAAGAACCTTCTGGCTTCTCCTTCCTGTTCTCCCAACATGTAACAGTAAGTTTCATCAGGCCACTAGGAGAGTCTACATTTCTTCCACAGAACAGAGAGTGACTGGAGCGAAAAGGTACGAGGGTCTAATAAATCCTTCACAGAATAAGACGTGATTTGGGAGTATAGGAATTGTGAAATCCAAATCAGATTCTCTACGAAGGGGGTAAAATAAAAACAAATGGGAAGTCACTGACCCACAGTCTTAGAAGGCTCTAAAAATGTGGTATCAGCTTTTAAAGCACAGAGTTCTAACGCCGGGAATTCTAAAAGCAGATTTTTTTTTTTTTTTTTTTAATTTCTAGGAGAGAGAGAGAGAGAGACAGCGTGAGCAGGGGAGGGTCAGAGAGAGAGGGAGTCACAGACTGAAACAGGCTCCAGGCTCTGAGCTGGCAGTCAGCACAGAGCCCGACGCAGGGCCAGAACCCACGAACCGCGAGATCATGACCTAAGCGAAAGTCAGACGCTTAACCGACTAAGCCACCCAGGCGCCCCTAAGAGCAGCAGATTTAACGAGAAGTAGATGATCCACTAACAGGATAGTCCCCAAGGCTGCGCAGGGAGTGTGAGCACCCGGGGCTCAGAGGTGCGTGAGGCGCTCCTGATTAGTGGCCCATCTACTTTTTCAGGGAAGCTCACAAAATAAAAATGCAAAGCAGGTTTTGAAGCTTCTCAACAATTTTCTCTCAGTTTTGAAAAAAACTGTCTTACAAAAATGAGATTGTGAAATAAAGTAACAGGCTCAAGGGTAATTTCAATTTTTAACGAGACTCCTTTAAGATATTAACGTCAGGCTTACGTAGCCAGCTGTGATATAATTCTTTTAAATGTGCAGGTGGCCTGATGCTTTATGTGTGTGAGCCAGCAATTTAAATATCCAGTATAAGTATGGCAAATTTTCCCTAATTTGAAATAAACAGAGATAAGATACTATACAATGAATGTGTTAGAGCATCTTTCTTGAGAAACTTCTAAAAGGAAAAAATAAAAGATGTAATTATACTCACACCACCAGCAAAGCCTCTGGTCACCTGTTTTGGGTAGTGGAACGCCCCCAGCAGCCGAGAGACCTACATCAACATCAAAGAGAAATGTCATGCACAGAATTAAACCTCTCAGAGCCAGAGGTGGAGACCAGGACATTTCGGACGCTGACAATGTTACAAGTTTGCACACAGATATTCAGGAACTTCTGAGGAATATTCTTCTCATGTATTAGCTCAATACGACAAGCTACATCAGATCTGAAAACCTAAATATTCAGTTTATCTTTGCTTTGAAAATTTAACTGCTGTATACTTTTAAAGGTGATTTGATGAATGTGAGTTGTCAAAAAATGTTCAAGGTGGAAGGAAACTGTACCTTTTTAGCTCAAACACTGGATTTTTCTCAGATGATCTGGAAGGTTTCATGTCAACATTCTTGGCCACTGGTTCAAGTTCAGGGTAACACATACTCTAAGAAATCCATCACTAATTTTAGAGCTGGAAGGGTCTTTAAAAATTCCAGAGCCCACTCACTCATCATACAGGTGGACACACTGGTGCCTAAAGGGTCAGGATGTGCCTAAGGCCACAGAGTGACCACAGAGACCAGAATTCAGGCCTCCTGACTCCTAGTCCAGTGCTCCTTCCATCACACATTACACCTGTTTTTCTCCATGAATACTTAGTACGTACACTTTATAATAACAAAAACTACCACGGTTCATTTAATGCCATTTGATACTTGTATTATACAAAATGAAAATTTTTAATAAATTACTTATTTTTTCTCATAATATAGGTAACACGGTCATTATTGTTAACTGCCGGGAAAGGGAGACCAAAAAAAGTCACCTACTAATCCCACTAGCCCAAGAGGCTACCGCTGGTATACCATTTTCCACTTAACACTATTAGACACTAGAAATAGAAACTTTAAAAGGTCATTTTGAACTTTAATAACTCGGGCGTTGAAAACTGGTACAAAGTGATAATAAACAGAATATAATCAAAGAAATTGAGTATATCAACCAAAGGTACGAAAAGCCATTAGAAGTTATAAAGGTAACTCTTTTTCATGCTGGATACACAAGCAAAGACACATTTGTTACATCCCGTCTTCCCTTTTGGGGACAGTTCTCATAAGGCCCGACCCTTTGCTGTAACAGTGGCATCTACTAACGAGCCACCAACCAACAGCCAAGAAGGTATGAATGAGCTGTATTCTGTCACCTGGTGTCTACCATCATCTGCCTGCACTGAAAAGACAAAACAGGGCCAGACCCAGAAGGACACTCTGCCAAAACCACTGGCAGACCCTTAACCTGGAACGTGACTCACCCATGGACAGACGGCTACTGGGAAACAGATTTGCCTGAGAGCTTCCCCCACCCCCACCCTGCCCCAGAAAGAGGGGACGGACAGCCACACAGAACAGGCCCACGTGTCTGGGACCAAAGACCCAACCAACAAGTGATCTCAGGGGTAAAGCCACAAGCACCTTGGGACCCCCAGGGCCTAGGGCAGCTCACAGTAGGTGTCAATGAATACCTTTTGGAAAAACCAAAGCCAGCCTCAATCACTTCTCCGTCTGACAATCTCTCACCCTGCAAACGCCTTTAATACTTGCCGTCATCTTCGCCACCAGTCCTGTCGGTGGCTGTCATCTGTCCAACATGATCTTAGAATAAGGCGGGATACGTCTAAGTCATTAAAATGACCCAGAACTTTAAGCAAGATTTTTTGGAACACAGACTGTGTCTTATATTTTACAATCTACTTGTACATACTTTAATTTATTTCTGCAAAACCTAGAGACATAGGTATCTTTTTTCTTTGCAGATAAGAAGACTGAGGCGGGGCTCACAGAACCTCCGCTTAACCTTGGACTTCAGGTCCTGGGCCTTCTTCATCCACAGCTCCTCACCTCCTCTGTTACCTTCCTCCCCAACTTAAAGACAGATAAACACAGTGTGGGATGTATGCCAGGTACTGTCTCAATAATGGCTTGTTGTAATCATAGCATTTTAGAACCAGAAAGGTCTTCAGAAACCTGATATTTTCTCCAAATAGAGCTTTTTTTTTAAGGAAAAAAGCAATTTAAGCTGCAGATCACTTTTTTCAAACAAAACTTTAAAGGGAACCCCAGAAGAGGAACCGCTCTGATTGAAGCTCCCACTGCCTCGGCGTCTCCGACATCCTGGGGCATCGGTCTCTGAGGCACCTGCTGCTCCAACCCCCACGGGGAGAGTAGGGCCCCACAGAGGTCAAAGGCCACATGGGGAGTCCATGTCAGAGGGGAACTTCATCCTCTATCCCACAACCCACGCTTTCTGAAGACCCACTGCACCCACAGTCCAGGCAAAGCACACTTACCAGCCTGTCCTCCACCAACTGGGCTACTTAGTCTACCATCTGAAGGCGTACTGAACCCGCCAAACATGAATCAGGTGTTAAGTGGGGCAACAGGGACATGGGAGCCACTCCACCTTCAGGAGCAAGCGTGGCCTAACTAACAGTCACCGTCCACACAAGCCCAGGTCTGAAGAGGGTAACCAAGCAGAACCGCATCGCTGACGCCCCCGAATCGAGCGCGAACTAGGAGAGCTTCCTATTTGTGTGTTCCCTCGCTAGCAGCGGGTGCTTTCACGTTATTTGATTTAACCCCCAACAATTGAGAGCAAGCATAGGTGTTTCACGGACGGGCACCTATATAATAAGCCCAGAGATGCTAAGCAATTTGCTCAGGGTCATACAGCCCATCAGCAGCATGGTCCGGATTCAAACCTAAGACTCCCGGGCAGGCGTACGGGAGCGAGGGAGCGAGACCCCTGGCACCGCCCGCAGCTTCGCCACCGACTCCCCTCGTGACCTTGAGCCGCACCATCTGGAGACGCAGGCTGGCTCCGCCGGGAACCAGCGAACTGCGGGGGCATCTGAAGCCGCTCCGGCTCCGGCCCCGAGCTGTCAAGGGCACCGCAGCTCTCCAGGTCGCAGCTTTCTCCCCAACACCAGGAGTGGGGGGCTCAGATGGGGACGCCCGCGTGCGGGGGGCCCTGCGCCCTCCGAGGGGCGTACCGCGTGCTCCCGCGAGCCCCGCGCTCACACCCCGGCCCCGCCAGCGGCGCTCCGGCCTCGCCGGGCTCTGCCCGGCCCCGGCCTGGCCCCGGCGCGGCGCTCGTGGGGGCACCCGGGCCCCGGCGTGACCTTGGCCGGGCCCGCCTCAGGTGCGGCCGTCCGGGCGCAGGGCTGCCCCACCGTCGGCGCCCGCCGAGGCCCGCGCTCCCGCACCGTCCCCGCCCGGCCCGCCCGCAGCACACCGGCCGGCCAGGCGCTCACCTTGGAGATCCACGCGGGCACGGCCATCGCGTCCCTCCTTGCGCCGCGACGACAGCGGCAGCAGCAGTGCGCAGCCGCGCGGTCCGGCTCGGGCCCCGCCCCCTGGTGACCACGCCCCCTCCCGGTCCACGCCCCGCCCCCCGGATTTTTCCCTGGCCAATCGCCTGGCTCCCCTCGCAGTGACGCGCGGAGGCCCGACCCGGAAGCCACCGGCGCGCGTCTCCAGGAAGGCCCCGCCCTCCCCTTGCGGCTGCCGGCGTCGGAATTCCCTGTGGGCTACGCGCCCCCGAGTCCCCGCGTCCGGGTGTGAGTGGGCGGCGGGCTCCCTGCCACCGGCGCCTCCCCCAGACTCGCGGGCTTAGGCTACGGCTTCTCTCGCGGAGTTTGCGGTCTTGTGCAGGTAGGCGGACGGCTCGCTCGTTCCACAAACGCCTGTCGTGTGCCAGCTTCCTGGACGTGTAAGTCACGGACCGTGAAACCCGCCGGGTGAGGCCAGCGGTCTGTGGTGAGCGCGCCCGCCCGCGCTCCGGGCCCCGCGGGGGCGAGGCGAAGCCGGGGGCCCAGCTCCAGCCCACCTGGCCGCAGCAGGCCCCTTCTGGCCGCCCTCGCCCCACCCCGCGGGGGCCCCGACCCGGCGACTTACACGGGGCCTCCCCTCCCCACCCTTCCAGGTCCGCCCGCCCGGAAAGGTGATGAATCGGAGGAGGAGCGGGGATGACGCCGAAGGCCTGGGGATAGAACAGGAACCTGCAGCTCCGCCTGTGGCCTGGTCCTGTGGCCTGGTCGGGGCGAGGGGTCTCAGCAGCCTCCCGCGGGCCTGGCCGTCCTGCCTCCCCCACAGTCAGGCCTCGGGCACGGCGGCATCGGGGACCACCCTGGCTCCCCAGCCCCCGGCCTGCCTCGCAGTCACGTCTCACCGCTGTTTCCACCCATACACCCCGCCACTCCCAGCCCCCCTGTCCTGGGGCACCAGCCAAGGACTGCTGGCCGCCCCCGCATGCTGCCCCCCGCGCTCCTGCCACTCCGGCGGCCCCCGTTTCCACCTGCTGAAATTCCAGCTCCTTGTTAAGACAGCCAGGATGTCCGTTCCCTTGGGAAGCACCCACGACCTGCCCAGCGATCCCGCTCCCTACTCAGGCCCCCCCCCCCCCGCCCCCAGCATTTGGTTCCCCACACAGGGGACCTATGGCATTCTCTCCTGCTGTGTGTCGTGAGATCCCCCTCAAGCCCAGAGAGGCTCTCTCATGTCTTTGCTTCTGGAACAGAAACCAGTAAATCCAGAGCACTTGCTGCTCAGCGACTTTAAGACAAAGATTGGATGACTCTCTCCAGTCCCTACTCAATCTTCACATCAACCCCATGAGGACACCAGGGTCCAGCAAGTAGCAGTGATGCCGGCATGACACTGGGACACCTGATTGCTGAGACAGTTCTCCTAACCGCTGAGTTTCTCCAGGGGCCGCCCAGCCCCCACGTGCATGGTGAGGACACGGAATGAACACACTCCAGGCCTGCCCCCCAGGTCTAGGAGGGAGAGACACAAATTCAGTGACAGGTGCTTGAAGGGGTTTGGACAGGGTGAGGCCGGCTGGGGAAGACTGTCTGGGAGACGGTATCTACGGCAGTCCTTGAGGAGGTAGGAGGGCAGCAGCCCGAGCTGGGTCCCGACGGACTGGTGCCGGCAAAGACTTGGAGGCAGGAAAGCGTCGGGTTCTCAGGACTGAAATGGACCTCAGTTTCCCAGTGCAGCCCCCACGACGCGGTGCTCCCTGCCTCCCAAGCCGCTGGAGGGACATCGGGGAGACAAAAAGCTCCCTCAGCACCATCTGGGGGCTGTTGCCTAGATGGGCCCACACGCTCCAGAACCACTCATGGACGTTCTGGACTCCCTCCAACATGCAGGCCAGTCTCCCCTGGACAAGCCCCTTTGTCCCGTGCTGGCACTTGGGAGCGTCCAGAGGTGCCATCGGCAAGGCGCGTTGGGACCAAGGTATGCTGGCCACTCAGGAGAAGGATCTGGAAGGTGTGCCCTTGTTTGTGACTACAGCACTGCCCGTCCAGAGGTGCTGTACTCTAGAAAATGGTTTTAATGAGAGACTCTTGAATGCTGAGAACAAACTGAGGACTCATGGATGTGGGGGGGAGGGGGGAGATGGGCACGGAGGAGGGCACTTGTGGGGATGAGCACTGGGTGTTATGTGGAAACCAACTTGACAATAAACTATTTGTAAAAAAGAAAATGGTTTTAATCAGGATGGCAGCTTTTAAATTAATAAATCAGCAAAATACGTTATGTTTATTCACATGCCAAATGCTTCTTTTTACTTTTCTACAAAAGGGACACAAATTTATTCCAATAGAGTTTCCCTAATTTATTTTCCTAAGTATTAGAACTTTAGTAAATAAATGGGCAAGGGACCTGAACAATCCATTCACAGCCAAAGCAGCACCAATTAAGAAATTTTTAACCAACCTTAGCCATAATCAAGGGCATGCAAAATCTCTAAGAGTTAGAAACTTCTTTAGCCCTTTTACTAGAAAGTATGGATGAAATGCTGATGTCCCCTGCGGCCTAGTTGGCGGCGGGACGGCTGCACTGGGGGTCCCAGCCGGCCTCCCGAGGTCTGCGCTGCCACAGCCTTTCTGGAAACGGCTCGGTGTGTCTTCACCTTTCACCTCGTATGAAAATCCATTCCTGAGAACTAATCCCTGGAAAAGCCCACGAAGACAAAGCCACCGGCACAGGGATGCTCACTGCACAGTTGTCTCTAATGTTAGTAACTGAAAGAAAAGCCGTCTTACCGACTAACGAGGGAACGGTCACCGTTTAGCGTATAGAGTCGAATGCAGCCCCACGCAGCCCTAGAAGTGGTCCTTGTGAAGACTCTTTGGTGTCTTGGTAATTCTTTACAGCTCCGTGTTCAGAAAAAATACATGGAAATTCAGCGTGTCTTCTCTGCTCTGCCGTCCCCTCTTTCTACGCGTGCGCGAAGGCCGGTGGGACCGGCTCCCTCAGTCTTCCTCTCCATGAAACGCAACCCCAGTCTCCCATTGTCCGGATCAGAAGACTTGCGGGTCAGCTCGGTTTTCCTGAGGTGCAGCTAGAGTCCCATCCTCCCCCTTCCCGGGCCGAGGCCAGTCCTGTCCAGGCAGGACCAGCGCGGCAGCCTGCGCACGGGTCTCCCCGCTTCCCCCGGCCCCTCACGGTCCCCCTGCCTTAGGGATCCTGTTAAAGCGTAAGACAAACACACCGCCCTCTGCTCAGAATAGCCAGCGACGTCTGTCCCTTGGCTAAAAGCCAGCGCTCTGACCACGGTGCCCAAGGCCCTGAGTAGTCTGGGCTTGCTCCCCGCCCCGTCTCCCGGGCGTGCTGGTTTTCCCCACAACACGCATCTCTCTGTGGCACCAGCTGGGTGTCCTACCACCTCACTCAATTCTGACGCCATCTTTCCGGAGACTGTCACGTCCTGCGGGCCAAGGGTTCAGTCCTGTCAGACTGTCCCCACGACAGCACCGGGTGCGGGTCCGGGCAGTCACTCGTGCCTCTGGCAGTCACCGTCAGAGCCCAGGGAGACACTTTGAGCAGCTGACTAAGGGCTGTCCCGAAGGTGCAGTGAACAGCCAGGTGCAGAGACAGAGGGCGGGGTCTGGGAGGGTCCCAGCTGCAGGAGCGTCTGTCTGTGGACTTGGGGTGTGTCACCTCCGGCCCACGGCGTGTTCACCAACCCGGAAGTGCTCTGAACCTCATCCTTGTGGGACCTTTACCGAGGCTTCATCCCGTAGGCATGGTCAGCTTCTATTTCCAGCTTCTCTCTTAAGAGGATGAGAAGGGGAGATGAAAACTCCAAACTTCTGATCACGGCTGGATTTTTCTCTCGACCAGACCCCCTCCAGGAGCCCACCCAGGGTCGCCTCATTAGAACAAAAGACACTCCTATCCCTCACAGAGTTAACAAAGGCTTCAGGGCCCTGTGTCAGAAACCAGGATCAAAGCTGTTATATGGTCTTTAAACATTTCAATTTAAATAGTGTGGTGTATATGTGAGTGTTAGTGGTTTGAACCCACTAACGGGCTGGGAAACGACAGGCCATGGCGAGCTCTGGCCCACCACCTCCTCTTGGACAGCTAAGAAGTGCCTTCACGCTTACACTTTGAAATGGCTCGTAAAAATCAAAGAATAATTCTTTGTGAGACTTCGCTGATATAAATTGGAGCCGCAGTGCTGCTAAGTAACGTCTTGCTGGAAAGCTGCCAAGTCCACGTATCTGGTGACCTCATCCCCAGCAGATGGAAGCAGATGTCCCAGAGGCCATGCCTGTGGGGCCGGCAAAGCCTGAACTCTTTCCCATCTGGCCCAGACAGAAAAGGCTTGCTGGGCTATCCAGCAATGACATGCAAACATTTTAGTCCTAAGACTATTTCTCTTAAAATTTGAGGACCCAAACTTTGTTAATACAGATTATTAATATTGATCGTATTAGAAGTTAAAATTACACATGACCCCAACAGCTGTTTTAAAAATGTTTTAAATAATTGTAACAATAAACCTGCTATGTGTTAGCTTAGCTCACACATTTTTATGAAAAATAATATTCTCAAAGACAATAAACATTGAGAAGAGTGCCGTTATTTCACGTGTTTGCAAATGTCTTTAATGCCCGGCTTAATTTAGTGGAAGGCAGCTGGATTCTCGTGTCTGCTGCTTCATGCGGCCTGCCGAAGCTTCTGGAGAATTCCAGAATTCTCGTGTCTGCTGCTTCGTGTAGCTTCTGGAGAATTCCGCCATGCACTTGTGAGAAGATGAGAGTGAAAACAGCGAATGATGTTTTACGTTGTGGGAAGAATAACGATGACCTCAGCCCCTCTGCAAAGGTCCAGGGGACTGTGCTTGGCCGACTAGAGGCAGCCAGACTTTCCCAGAAGCCCACACTCCAAGGCTCGTTCTCAATGCATCCGAGGTACTAAAGCCATCCCAGCGGCAGAGGATCCGCTCATTAGCAAAATGGGTGGGCAAAGCGACTGTCCTTGCTCAGACAGCAGGGCTCCAGGCATGGAAGGTGCCACCCACGGGCCTCTACTCTCGGACAGAGCACGAGGCTCGACGGACTCTGGTCCCAGCAGGCCGTCTGGCCTCTGGGTCAGGCTGCTGAGTGAGGACACAGCGACCTGATCCCAAGTTGAAGGTTGTGTGAACCTCGATCTTTGAATATTGTCGCTTCTGCTTTGGACTGTTTCTCAGCACCTGTTAGGACACCTAACCACTCTGGTCACCACGCAGGTCACATAGCCACTGAGGACCCTGCTGACGGGTGACGGTCCGTGGCGCAGGACTCCGCCTGAGACGTCTTGCGTTGCCTCAGCCACCCCGCTCCGCTCCAACCACGAAGCTCTGCTGTCTGCCGCTCACCGCTGGAGCTGACTCACATCCACGGCAAGACTGGGTCCAGTCCTGGGGCGCCTGGGTGGCTTAGTCGGTTAAGCATCCGACTTTCGCTTAGGTCATGATCTCACGGTTCGTGGGTTCGAGCCCCGCGTCGGGCTCTGTGCTGACTGCCAGCTCAGAGCCTGGAGCCTGTTTCAGTCTGTGACTCCCTCTCTCTCTGACCCTCCCCTGCTCACGCTCTCTCTCTCTCTAGAAATAAATAAAAAATAAAAAAATAAAAAAAAAAAAGACGGTCCAGTCCTGAGTGCCCTGCCCTGGTCACCTCCTGACAGACACCGCAGTGACCCCAGAGAGGCGAGGGGGCGGGGGCCACAGAGATGGGGATGCAGCACTCCAGGCTGGGGCTCTGGCTAGAGCAGGCGGTGCTGAGGGGTGAGTGTGGGGAGGGAGAACAGGGTCACATGTCCCGGAGGGCTCTAAAGGCGTCTGAACAGACAGTTTGCAGGGGAGGCTGACCCATCTTTGCTCAACAACAGGAAGTCACCATCAGGTTGGCCCCATTCTCCGCCAGGAGCCTGGCACATCCAGAACGGGAGGGTCCAGAACAGGCCCACAGGGGCCATTCAGGGGCCATTCAGGGGCCATTCAGGGACAAAGCGGGCTCACCTCATTTGCTGAGCGCTAAAGGGCTTCATCACTTGATCCTCCAGCAGGAGAAGCTTCTCTAAGTCAGAATATTTGGGGAGTTACTTGATTCAGTGTGTGAACAGGCACAGGAAATGTATTCTTTTAAAGAACGTTGATTCAGTATTTACCAAGACTTTGTCCTAGACCCTGGGGATAGAGCCAAATAAGGTGTGGTGTGGCCGTCCTGAACCCTAGTGTTTGAGGGGAAATAGCACCTACTCCCCAAAAAAGAGACAGTCCCAGGCTGTGTATGCATCCGTCCCAAAATAGTAAGATCTGTGTGCGAAATGCTGGAGAGACGGGAAGACAAGAAGACAAACTGCCCAGTGCTAGGACCGAGTCAGATTAAATCGGCAGTTGCAGGCAAGTTGTGTATGAGATTGAGGCAGACCCAGTACACGCGCCCAGAACATGAATAGCAGCTTGGGAGAGGCCAGGAGGCCAGGTGCTCTGTGCGCGGAGGTGAGACTTCTGGGAGCAATGAGGCTTGAATCGCCACGAAGACAGAGAAGTCTCAGAGCGGCCGAGTAGTGGCAGCGCACCCCAAGGGGGGTCCCCGAGGTGGGACAGCGCACCCCAAGGGGGACCCCGAGGTGGGACAGTGCACCCCAGGGGCCCCCGAGGTGGGACAGCGCACCCCAGGGAGCCCTGAGGTGGGACAGCGCACTCCAGGGGGACCCCCAGAAGGTGGGGCAGCAAAGGCCTGGCCTGCAGGAGGCGTCTTCACTGTAGAAGACATTCTGCCCAGCCTTGGGCGTCTCCATCATAGAGATCCCCTCAGACTCCAAGTCGTAGAAGAACTGCTTGCAGACCAAGGACATTTCATCACAAGGAATAGCAGCTGGTGCAGGAGGGAAGAGGGATAGAGATTCATGTTTTATTGTAGAAGATCACTCCTTGGGCTTTGATCCCTCCCATTTTCCTTCCAACTTTTAAAATAAACTTTATGGAGTGAGCAAGAAATGAAAAAAGCCAACGTTTAATGAATGGAAAGCACCAGGCGCCACCCTGGGACCCTCACCTCCCTCTCGTGTCGTGTCATTTACAAGAAGCAGCAGAGTAGGCGTCAAGCTCCTGGAAGCAGCGGTAACCCCATGTTCCTGTCTCAGTGTAATCAAGACTGAAGTCCAGCCATTAGCAGCTGAGCAGCTCTTCTCGGAGACTGTTTCTTCATCTGTGAAATGGGTAATAAGGCCAACTGGTCAGACCTGAGAGGCGTCATGGAATAATCATATTTGGTAGTGTGAAGCATCCAGCACAGTCTTGGGCACGGGGTAGGTAATCAGTGTTTGACACTTCTCCGTCTGTCCACCCCCTTCAAACAAACACACCGCACATCTGGGACCACACCCCACATCTGGAAGCAGTGGAGACACATGATTTGGAATCAGAGAGGGAGGCTAGCGCTTTGTGTTGCCCCTTCCTCGCTGGGTGGCTCTGGGCAGGTCACTCTGCCTCTCTGAGCCCAAGGTTTCTCAACTGTAACATGGAAATGTAACTCGCCTTCCTCGCGGCACTGCTGTAATAGTTTAGGACAGAGGGCCTCCTTTAGGGCAATGGCAGTAGTGATCACAAAGGTTTTAAGGGAATTTCCTTCACAGGAGTGTGAAGACGGAATCACAGAACTGAAAACAGTCCTCTTCACAGAGTTTCTGGCTTCTCTGCATGGAGCATATGTCACAAAAATACGCAAGCGTGTTAGAGAATATACCCGGGCGGGATCTGAACCCAGAATTCCAGCCTGCTCAAGGGCAGCGTGGAGTCAAAGATGACAGGAAGGAAATGTGTCATAGTGATTGTGTGGTCTAAGGGGGCTTCCGTCTCCCCAGCTCTCACAAGGGAGAAAAGGGAGGTACAGAGAAACTCCGAGAAAGGTGTCTCTGCTCTAAAATTCCACATTCTCTGAATTTCTGGTCACATAGCCTGCCTTCTTGCCCACGGCTGAGACCCCCATCACACGTGGTCAACAGTCCCCTGGGCTTCTGAATTGCTTCCTGCCCTTCTGATCGCCTCTCCTGATGCTTCAGATTTGAGCAGGGTGGCTTGTCTGTTTAGCTGATGGCTGCTGTTCTCACCTGAAGGTGACACAACGTTGGGAAACCCCAAACAGGTGCCTCTGATAGAAGGAAAATGTAAAAACACCTGGGAATATCTGCCAAACGGAACCCCTAACCTCCAGTGTGGTCAGGGCCAGCAGCACCAGCGACGCCTGGGATCTTGTTAGACCCCCACCTTCCTGGCCATCCTGGACAAACGAAGTCAGAAACTCTGGGGGCGGAGCCTCCCAAGTGCTTCTAGAAAGGAACCCTTTATTTTTAAAGCATAACATCCTGAGTTCACGGAAGTCAGGTGTGGAACAGCGGGCTGACTCACACTTCCCAGCTGTGGGACCTAGAGTGTTACTGAACGGCTCTCTGCTGTTTCCCCACCTATAAAATGCAGATAATACCAGTAGAATCAACTGTCCTGGGGTTAGAAATAGCACGTGTATGGGTGGGATCCCTGAAAGAACTTAGCAGTGACTCTATTTGTTGTGGTCTTTGGCATTTGCTTAAACGTCCCAGGTGAGGCGCCTGGATGGCTCAGTCGATGGAAAAGCTGACTCTTGATTTTGGCTCAGGCTATGATCACAGGATTGTGGGATGGAGCTTTGCGACCGTCTGCACTGAGCTTGGAGTCAGCTTGGGATTCTCTCTCTTCCTCTGCCCCTCTCTTCTGCTCGCTCGCGCGCGCGCCCTCTCACTCTAAAAAAATTTTTTTTAACTCCCAGAAAACTTCCTGGCCTTTGTCACACTTCTCTGGACACAGTAAGTCCTGTAAATCCTCTCCAGTCTCACGTGTGCAGCCAAAGATGCAAAGAAAGGCTGGTGAATCCTGTCCGCCTCCCTAAGGAACCCAGGGGGCCCGACATGTCCTCCAGCGCAGCGGCCTGAGCTCCGCTCACCTGCAAAGAAAGGCCAGCTCGCCCCCATCCTTTGCGGCGGGGACCCAGCTCGCCCAGCCGAAGCCCTGGCTCCGCCCAACTGGAAGGCCCCGGCTGCGCCCGGCCCCGCCCCGCTGGGGTCCTGGCCCCGCCCCGCTGGGGTCCTGGCCCCGCCCCGCTGGGGGTCCTGGCCCCGCCCCGCTGGAGGGCCAGGCTTCGCCCTGTCCCTGTCCTGGCCCCGCCCAGTTGGGGTCCTGGCCACGCCCAACTGGGGGTCCTGGTCCCGCCCAGCTGGAGAGCCAGGCTGCGCCCGGCCCCAGTCCTGGCCCCGCCTGGCCGGAAGTGAGGCGCGGAGAGGCCGGGCAGCCCCTCCCGAGGCGGGAAGGGGACGCCCCCTGACGGGGTGGGCGCGCGCATCGCGGGGCGGGGTCGCCCGGCCTCTCCCCGCCCGGCTCCAGCCGCGCTCCCGCCTCCGGGTGGCCGCGGGCTGGGGCTCCTGGGCTCCGGCGCCCAGGCGACGGCGCGGCGGCCGCCATGGGCAACAAGCAGACCATCTTCACGGAGGAGCAGCTGGACAACTACCAGGTGAGCCGGCGCCCGCCCTCCCCTGCTTTTGGCCGCGTGCCGAGGCCCCCGCAGCCAGTTACCGGGTTCAGCCTCTGCCCCTGCCTTCAGCACGGAGTGTGACCTTGGGCTATGACTTGCAGCCTCAGTTTCCCCACCGCTGCGTCGAGAGCGCTTTCCTCAGGGCAGTTCTTTTCACCCCCGTTCAGCCTCCTTACTCTTGGGCCCCAGCTGGCCTCGAACCCTCCCCGGCCACCTGTCCCGGCGCTCACCGCGGCACGCAGCTGGTGGGTCATTAAACGTGGGCTGCAGGGAGGGTCTCCCATCCCAGGAAGCAGCCCAGGAGACGGAGTCTCTCCAGAGCAGAAATGGCGGGTGGTCCTGTCTGGATGGGGAGTGAGGTGTGTCAGCCCCCAAGTTCAGATTTAAGTTGGGGTCTCCACCTCTGGCCCCAGCATGGAAATAATTGGAGCAAGAAGGCAGGCGAGGTGCCTGTCCCCACAGTCCCCTCCAAGGTCCCGTAGTCCCCAGCAGCCACCTGCTAAGACCCTTCTAGCACCTGCTGCCTCCAGAGCCAGGAGACTGTCCAGAGGCGAGACCCTGAAGCCCTCCCGCCCTGGGGAAACTTCTGTGGTTGCAGGATGCAGCCCAGCCCCCTGACCGGCTGGGGGCCTGGCAGCCTCCAGGGCTCCTTCCCTGGGACCCCTTCCCCGCCCCTCCTTCCTCCCCGTGCCCATGCTCTGGGACACCCCTTCAGATGTTCCCTCATCCTTCAAGGCCCACCTGGGACGCCTCTGCCTGACCCCCCCGGGCAGGGGGGACCTGTGTGGAGTGTGCTGCGGGAGAGAGGAACACCGGCTGTGCCTCCGTAGCCGCCTGTTGCCTTCACGAATATTTCTTCTGGTCGTGGGCCTAAAGCGTGAGCCCTCTGAGGCCCCTTCCTCTCAGAAGCCCTGGCCAGCAGTAACGGTCATCAGCTCCACGGGAGGCTCTGAGAAGGACCAAGGGCCACACTCATGAAGCACCTGCTGCGTGCCAGGCACTGGAGCGGATGCCCTCCAGGATCCTCACAGTGGGGAGGATCATCAGCCCCATTTCACAGAAGAGTAGACAAAGGCCAAGGAGCCATTCAGTGCCCAGCACGGTCCAGGCTCAAACTGGAATTTGAATTCTTTAATCCAAGGCCTACTGCTTTTGTTTGGAGGCAGGGCTTGGGTGTGCTCTTTGTCCAAGAGAAGCCAACCTTGTGAGAGTGCGGTGCACCCCAGGGGAGGCCACTCGCCGCCAGTGGAGAGCCAGGAGGCAAGGGGAACTTTTGCTTTGCACGGTGCAGAGATAACGCAGTGCTGGAGCAGGCCTTTGAAAGGTGGGCCCCGCAGGCCAGAAAGAGGCCTTCCCGCTGGAATCCCGTGGATGAAGCCCGGGAGGTGGGCACAGGCAAGCAGGGGGACCGGGCTCGGAAGCGAAGCGGAGCCCCGCGGGGGTGGGGAGCCTGGGTCTGTGCTCACACCAGCCTAGCATCGGGTTACACTGGCAGCCAGTCCCAGTGTTGGGCTGTGACCCTCCTCCAGAGCGGGGCAGGGTGAGAGACTTGAGAGCTGACGAAACCTGAGAGCCCCAGTCTCCCTCCCTCTGCTCTCCAGCCAGGCTCCCAGCTACCGCCCCCTCCCCAGTTCTCAGGTGCCAGTGAGCCCCAAGTTCAGGTTTCTTTCCAGACTCCTCTGCCCTCCAGGTCCATCTCCCAAAGCCCTCAACCTGCAAAGCAGGGCTCCTGGCCTCCCTCAGAACCCACCACCGCTCCTCCGGCCGTTTGAGCCTCGCAGGCAGCCTGCGTTTTCAGGAAGAGTGAGCCCTGTAACTCACCTGGGGGTCCCCTCCTCTAGCTCCCCAACACAGGACAGCCGAAATCTGACTGTGAGACCCTGTTCTCTGCCAGCACTGCCAGAACCCTGAGAAGCCTTTACGGCACTGACCGTGCTCATCCCCCACGAGCTGCCTCCCTGGGGTGAGTTCCAGGCAAGGTCAGCAGAGAAAAAGTAGAATGTCAGTTGGTGAGCAGGCTCGGGCAGCTGCGTTGCAATGTCGCACACCTACAGACAGCGGCTGCCGCGCGGAGAAGCTCCTTTGAGGCCAGTCAGTGCCTCTTGTGGGACATCCCGCAGCCAGTGAGCCCGCGTGACGCTGTGGAGGGTTTATGCGGGAAGGCCGCTCCTCATCCCGGGGCGCTGTGTGGGCACCCGTGGCGCTGGGTGTGGAATGCACAGCAGGGGCAGGACAGGAGTGGCCAGTGGCCGTGGCTGGACTCTACAGCCAGCGGACCGCAGTCAAGAAGCACACACCCCAGGTTGCAGTCAGCCCCCCGGGGCTGCGTGTGCAACTTAGAGCAGGCCATTCAACTTCACTGAACCTCAGTTTTCCCATCTATAGAGTGGGGAGATAATGCCTGCCAGGGATGAGGATTGAACAAAACCCAATAACCAGAGCCCCAAGGGCCAGGCCAGTGGTAATCATGGGCGGGGCGGGGTGTGGTTCTCAGCCCCGGCTGCACACTGCAGTGAGGCTCTGTACTCTGATGCCGGGCTCCGCCCCAGGGATTCTGCTTGGATCAGTCTGGCCCGTGGCGGCGGCGGCGGTGGTCGTGGTGGTCATGGTGGTGGTGGTGGCGGTCGTGGCGGCGGTCATGGTGGCAGTGGGAGAGTGGGGGAGACACAAGGGCTCCAGCATCTCCCAGGTGATTCTGCCCCAGAGCTGAGGCCCTCACTTTAGCAACACCAGCATCGCTGGGGGTGGAGGATCCTGTAAAGATTCAGATCCCTGGGCCCCGCCCCCAGAATTTCGGGTGCAGTGAGTCTGGAGTGGAGCCTGAGAACCTGCATTTCCGCTAGGTCCCCAGGCGATGCTGGTGTGGCTGCTCCCGGAACCACACCTTGAGGACCATCATGTAGAGAGAGTGGTTGTGATGAGAGACCAGCGTCCTGTGAGGAGTTTTTGCATCTTTCACTCTAGGGCCCTCGGGTCAGGACATAGGGCATAGGAGAAAGGAGAGGAGAAGGGAAGAGGGGAGGCCAGGGACACAGAGCTCACAGGCCAGGGCCCCTCCCTGTCCCTGGTTATGCCGACACCCCCACCAGGTGGGTTGGGAGGGGCCGCGGACGGTCTATACCTGAAGACTCGGCTAGGCTGCCTTTGGGGCCTGCTCCGCGTGTCTGGGGCCTTCAGGGAATCAGTCCACACAGCCCCCACCTGTCTGAGTCTGAGACCGTGGGCTCTCTGCCCATGCGTGCTGAGGATGGGGACCAGAGGAGCTGTTGCCTAGAGCAGAGCCTGGCCCCCCAGGAGAAGTCCCGAGGGTCCAGGAAAGGGCAGGGCACGTGAGGGCCTTTAGTCTAACTCCTGGGTGGCAGACTGGGCTCCGCGGGGCCCGGAAGTGCCCACCAGCTCCCCCTTTCCAGCCCTCCCGCAGGCACCTCCTCTCTCTGGGCTTCCTGGGCGTGCAGTCCAGCAGCTCTGGTGCCAGTGGCTCCCGGTCTCACCCAGGGCAGGCCTGGCTGCGGCTGTGAGCCCATCAGAGCCGGCTCCGCTCAGCTCACTGCCCCGGGGGGTCCCGGCGCAACACGGGCAAAGGCGAAGGGTCCAGAGCAGGGATATGCACAGCAGCCCTTCACTGCTGGGGTCTCACTGCCTCCATACCTCCCACCGTGGCCTGGCAGCCACCTCCAGCAGGCAGGCCAGCCTGTGGACAGAGGCAGGACCCCGGAGACCAGTTTATAACTGGGCGACCTTAGGACCCGAGCGCTGCCCCCACCCTGAGGGCCCCAGCAGCCGCCACGCTTGCCTCCTTGCCTCCCGTCCTCCCCTCGCTTCCCCTCACCTGGCGCCCACCGCCTCCCCATGTGACCTCCCTGTTCCTGTGGCTTCAGATGCCACGTCGATGCTGGTGCTTCCCCAGCCTGTGTGCCCGGGACGCCCCAACTCTGCACCTGGGGCTCTGCCCGCAGCCGTTGGGACACTCCGCATGCGAGGCGCACACCGCATGCCACGCGAGGCGGGGCACTGTTCTCGGGCTGCAGCGTGGGTGGCGCCCCCTGCAGCTGAGACCCTGCCGGCCTCTCTCCTGGCTGCTCCCCCTTCCCCCCGCCGGGCCGCAGAGCGGGCCACAGGTCAGCAGCTCCACCTCGGGCCTGTGCACCCCGTACGTGCGCACCCCCGGGGGTGCCTCCCGGCCCCCACCCCAGGTCGCAGTTCGCTGGGCCGTGTTACAAGCTTCAGGAGGCAGCCTGTGGGCCAGCAGGAGGCGTCCGCCCCAGGCCGAGGCGCTTCCTGAGAGGTCCCGAGGGCAGGCGGCGCAGGGCCTGCAGCGGACTGTGTGTGTGTTTTCCCTTCATAGGACTGCACCTTCTTCAACAAGAAGGACATCCTCAAGTAAGTGTGGCTTCCCGATCGCCCACCGGAGCTCGGCCGCGGCCGGGGCCCTCGCTGAGCCGGCCACGCGGGCTGGCACTGAGCGGGGCCGAGCGCAGACTGCTGTGAGCTGGAGAGCTTCCCGCCCCGCCCGGCGCCCAGACCCTCCCGCCAGGAATCGAGTGTCTCCGTCCTGCGTGTCAGGCACATTTTCGTTTTATCCTCCCTGCGACCTCGTAACAGGAGAACCTGCTTTGCCGTGGGGGGGGGGGGGGGTGGCTGGACACAGAGGCCCTGTCTCCAGGCCCCTTGCTGTCTGACCGTGTCCTGAGATCTGTCAGGCTCGGGGTTCCGCTAATGCCCTGTGGCTCCAGGTGTGATGTCCCTGTGTCCCCGGGGGGCCCAGAAGGCAAAGGCCCGGCCTGCAGGCCCCCAGCACCCCTGAGCCGCCCGCCCAGGGCCCTTCCCTTTCCAGGACAGCCTCTTTCTTTGGGACGGAGGAGGTGGGCTTCGGGGGAAGAGACGTAGGGGGTTTGGCAGCCTTAGAGCCCCAGGGCCAGGCAGTGAGCACGACCCACAGAATGGCAGGCCCGGCCCCTCGGGGCTCACGGGCCCTGTGCCTGAGCTCCCAGGTGGCGCGAGAAGCCGGCAAGGTCACAGGACCACTTTCCGTGGAGGTTGATGGGGGCGCTGGGGCTGGAGCCGCTCTCCGGGCGAGCTGTGCTTTGTCACGGTCCTGCCACTCCGCTCCCACGGGCCGCGTCGCCCTGGCCTTCTCCTCTGCCCGGCTGCCCTCAGCCGGCCCCCGGGTCGACAGGGACACCCACTTCTCCACCTTGGAGAGACAGGGCGACGGGCAGAGCCCCGCTGTGGCGCCAGCAGACCCGGGCCCTACTCCTGCTTCCTAGCTCAGCGGCCCCCGGCCAGCCGCAAGCCTCGTTTCTTCTGCAAAGTGGGGACGCTGACGCTGACCTCACAGCGCGGCTGACAGGTGGGAGCCCAGGGCGTGGCGTCTGCACAGCGAATTGGTCTGTGGCTTCTGTGACGTGTGGGGTGGGGTCCCTGTCTGGACGCGATGGCCTCAGACCTGTAACAGCAGCCGTGGTCGGTGGCGTCCTGGACGTGGACGCTCACTGGACCTCGCCTCGTTCCTCTGCGCGTCCCCTCCCCACCCCCCACCCCCCGGAGAGAGCCACTCTGGCTGCTCGTCTTCCAAGGCCTGTGGCTATTCCTGCCCTGGTGGCGGAAGCTGTCCTCGCTGCCTGGCCCCTTCACCTCTGGTGCCACTGCATTCCCGTACACCCCTCTGGAGCCGCCTCTGTGGTCGTCTGTGCCGTGAGCGCCCCCACCCGGGGGCCCCGGGGGCTCACGGCTCACGTGCTCGGCTCCCCCCGGAGTCACGGTCAGCCGGGCCTCAGGCTCCCCGTGCCTGTCATTGGGCACAGCACCTGGTAGCCACTAGTGAGCACTTGTAGACCGTGTGGGTGAAGGAGGAGCAGGCTTGGCTGTGAGAGAACATTCCAGGCTGGGAGCAGCGGGACCAAGGACTTGGGCCTGCCTCACCTCACCCCTCCCTGCGGCGGTCTCGCCGACGACAGCACGCTTGCCCATGGTGCGGGCGCCGGGCGCGAAGGCCAGGCCAGGCGCTAGACTAAGCGCGGCAGGTCTTTGGCAGTGTCCCCCTGGCAAGTGAGGAGCCCCAGGCAGATGGGGTGCCCCATGGTCCTGGCCTGCCCGTCCTGAGCCCTTCAGCACCCCGGCCTCTGTAGCCTGACCCAGAGTCGAGGCCAGGCCTGGGGTCCACGCACGGGTAGGCCCCCTTCTGGCCACGTGGTGTCCCTTCCAGCCTGAACTGCCCCTGCTTCACTCAGGCTCTGCCACTGTGTTGACACTCACTGGGGACCCGCGGCACCTGGCCCGGGGTGGTTGTGCCAGGAGGGGTAGGGGACAGAGCACCTGCTGTGGGTCATTCCCCGTCTCTGCACTGTCGCCCTGCCCCCAGGCCCCTGTGTTCAGCGCCGCATGGGGCTGCTTGTGGTTTTGTGGCCCAGCCGTGCACCCTCAGCAAGGGTGGTGAGAGCAGGCAGCGCGTGGGGCCGTGGCCCCTGCAAGAGCCACGGCAGCTCCTTCGGTCTTGGCCCCTTCTCTTTCCTCCAGCCTTCTCTCTGGGCCCCAGCAAGGGCCAGTGGCACCTACCAGGGACTGACCACCCCGGCCAGGTGAGCCCTCTCCGCTGTTCACACCTCAGGCCTCGGCCGGGCAACTGAGGCCCAGAGCCCAGCACGGCAGTGCCCAGCAGGCTGCCCACAGAGCCGGGCCCCAGCCCTGCCGAGTGGCGGGGAGGAAACCCGAGTGCAGGGTGTCCTTTGCAGCAGCCCTGGGTCACAGATAAGCAGCGAGGTCCTTGTCTCCCCCGCCCCCCCGCCCAGGTGGATCCAATCGCGCGGAGCCCCCACCCAGCCCCCTTCCTCCCCACAGGCCAGAGGTGCTGCTGGGTCTGCCTGTGCCAGGACCCGAGTCCTCGCCCCTCGGCGCCCAGAGGCCCAGCCGCGGGCGCCCCGGCGTGTTTCCCTGTGTGTCAGCGTTCCGTACTCTGGTTTGTCAACCTGCTAAAAACTCTGTGGCCTCTGTTTTAATTACTTAAGTGTTTTGTTTTATATGTGGTACATGATGACTGTAGAAAAATTCGAGAACGGGGTGCCTGGGGGGCTTAGTAGGTTGAGCGTCTGACTCTTCATAAGGTTTTTGCCTCTGTGTGTGTGTCGTTGGTCCGCTGGGGTGCCAGCCGTGGGGCTCAGCGGGCAGGGTTCTTACTGAGCTTCTGAAATGACGGGGAGGCGCCCCCTGTCGGCCCTGCGCTGTGGGGCAGCTCAAGCAGCACAGGCGTGACCTCTGCCCCGGGGTCTTGGGACAGGACCAGCATGCCTTGCACTGGGGCCGGGTGACCGTTCGGAGTTTCCCCCACAGTGATTCAGCCTTCCGAATTCTCTTTGAGTTTTCCTTAAAATAAATAAATAAATAAAATAGCATCACCTTCGTCCTGGAGCCAGGGCAGGACTTGGCCTTCCCGCCCCAGGGGACACCCGGACCTGCCAGCACTCAGCCCTCTCCCCAGCCCCCTGGCAGGCAGGCAGCTAAGGGCCGGGTGGCCTTGCTAACACCACCCTCCCTGACCCCCAAGTGTGAGGACAGCGGGACGGCGTCTGTTTGCTGACAGGGAAGTCTGCGGGGTCCAACCTCAGTCTGCCGCCCGGCTCGTGCTGTGGCCGCCCCACATGCCTTCGGAGGTGGAGGGCAACGTCCACGGCACCCAGCATCGCACCCCGCACGTTAAAGGTCAAGGGCAGGGTGAAATGTAATGGCAGTTTAACACGTCTGTCAAGTACAGGAAACCGGCTGCATAAATTGTGATATGGAAGTGCTGGTTCTGAGTTTGGGAACAGTAAACAAGGATGGGGTTTCCCTCGACGCTGAGAGCAAGAGCAGAGAGAGCCCTTGACTGGCCCTGGCGGCGAGTCCGGGCCCCAGCCTGTCACTCCGGTATCTGCTGACCCTCTCCCCCCGAGGGTCGGGCTTGGGATTTCCCTCCAGCTCCGTGTTTCTCAGTGATGGCACTTCCACGTGATTCTGGGCCATTTTCGGGAACTTGTGGCTGGGGGCATGGCCTTATGGTGTTTTGCTCTGCATTCACGTGCCGGCCAGGGTGGCCTGATAGAGAGACCGGCATCCGCCTCTCAGGGTGCTTTAGGGATTAAGCTGGGTAATCCACACGGGGGATGGACCCACAGCCTGGCACAGGGAGCACCCGCTAAACGGGGCTGGCATTGTGTGTGTGCACCAGGCAGATAGTCAAGTCCCCGGCCCGAAGGGGCTGGTGGCCATGCTGCAGGTCTCCCGTGGGGGCCTTGGGGTGTGTCAGTGGGTCAGCCACTTAGAGCACTGGCTTTGGGTGAGCAGGGCAGGCGGGGCCAGGGGCTCTGGGGCCACTTTGGTCCAATTCCCAAGAGTCCTGGGCCTCCCCTTGGGCGGGTCGCCCACCTCACCCCTGGTCAGTGTCCCCTGCACTCGCGTCCCCATCTGACAGCACGTCGTGGACACAATTTCATCTGACCTAAGCTGCATTTGTGTGGGGTGGGAATCGGGGGCTCTCCTCCGGGATGTTGGGGACATCAGAGGACTGAATAACGGGGGTGGGGCTCCCTGTGAGCCAGTGACAGGAGGCCCCACACCCCGGAGGGGCCTCATGGTGCAGACCGGCTTGTGTTCTGGGGCCTCCTGAGCACGGACTGCGCAGGGTGGGGAGGGGGGGGAGTGGCTGGGGGCCTGGCTCTGGCAGGGCCAGCAAGGCTCGACGGCTAAGGACCGGAGAGCAGTGGTAAAGAATTCCTGCCCTGGATTTCCAGGCCATCGTTCCAGCCACGTGCCTCATACTTACAGTTGTGTGGCCCTAGGCAGGTGGCTCTTAACCTCTCTAGGCCTCGACTTCCTGCACTGATAGCTGGGGGCTCAGCGCACCTGTGTGCAGAGCCATGGGAGACTTGGTGGGGTGATGCCACTGGCATACGGAAGCCCTTACAGGGCCCGGGGCGGGGGGGGGGGGCATGGAGAATGGGGGCGGGGACACAACCTGGCCATCAGCACAGGGGCATGCCGCCCCCTCCCGGGCCCCACATCCTGTGTGCACAGCAAGGCGAGGGGGTCTGCGGTGTGGGAGGCTGGGTGTGGGTAGGGCAGCACCGGCCGTCGGGCTCAGGGGATGCACCCCTCCCCAGCTCTTTTCCTCTGTGTCCCTCGCAGGCTGCACGCACGGTTCTACGAGCTGGCCCCCAACCTCGTCCCCACAGACTACAGGAAGAGCCCCGTTGTCCACGTGCCCATGAGCCTCATCGTCCAGATGCCGGAGCTCCGGGTACGACAGAGGCCGCTGCTGCCGGGCAGGTGGGCTGGGGGGCCGGCAGCGGAGGCCCCCAGACCTGGGTGGAAGCCGGCTCAGCCCTTGGTGGCTGTGTGGCCCTGAGAGGGTCACTGAACCTCTCTGTGCCTGTTTCTTCCCCTGCACTCTCTGAATAAATGAGTTCCACGTGCGGAGGCTGCATGTGGGTGGTCAGCGCTGCCCTGTAGTCCATGCTCACGTGCTTTGTGACATGGCTGGTCGGCTCTGCATGGCCAACCTTGTGTCTGCTCTTCTAGATAACTCCTGTCTTCCTGTCTGGCATTAGCCTCTCGCAGCACGGCTGTCCACACCATCACTTCTCAGACTTTAACATGTACAGGACTCGCCTGCAGATCTTGTCAGGGCCAGCAGGTCTGGGCCAGCAGTTCGCCAGCAGGTCAGGGTCAGCAGGTCAGGGTGGTGGGCACCAAGATTCTGTTTTCCAGCATGCGCCCAGGTGAGGCAGATGCTGCTGGACCCCAGACCACTTGGGTATTTGACACAAAGGTTTCATTTCACAAGCTCCTTGCCCGTAGTACGTCGAGTGCACTCCCACAGTAGGGAAGGCTGGCATTCAGGGCACGACTCCACACGGCTGCACGACTCTGCCAGCGACTCTACCAGCAGCCCCTCGACAACCCTTGGGTCAGGGCACCACATGGCAACCACTCCAGCCTGTGTCCTGGTTGTGACCTCTGTCCCGAGGGACAGTGAGGTACCAGCGTGGCCGTGGCTTGAGGGGTGGGCAGTCTGGCAGCAGCCTCTCGGGCTGTTCCAGAGCCTCCTGGGCTCAGCACAGAGTGGGGGTGGCCCAGCCCAGCTGGGGTGAGGGCTCCAGGAAACATGAGCCCCCAGAGACTGAGGATCAGAGGAAGGAGTCGCGTGTGGCTCCCCAGAGTAGGTGGCCCTGGAGGTGACGGAGGCCTGGGCTCGGAGTACTTGTTCCGGCTCTTTTCTCTGAGCCTTTGGGGCCCCACTTCTGCCTGGCAGGACCTTGGCCTGACCTGGCATAGCCGAGGGCTGCCCGTGCCCTGAGCCTCCTCTTTTCCTCCCCGTGGCAACAGCACCCCCATGCGTCCCTTGGGGCAGTGGGGAGCACACCCCGACGCTGCTCCGTGCGGGTCTGAGCAATGGGACACGAAGCGTGGTGGCCGGCCTGGCGCCCACACCTCTGTGCCTTGTCCGCCCTCACAAGCCAGTCAAGCAGGTGCAGTCATTCTGTTTGCAGGTGGGACGGGGCAGGGGGTTCAGGGGGCCAGGTCACTGGTCCAGGGGCGTCCTGCACCCACACAGCCACCATGGCTGTTTCCTCCAGGAGAACCCCTTCAAGGAAAGGATCGTAGAGGCTTTTTCAGAGGACGGCGAGGGCAACCTCACCTTCAACGACTTTGTGGACATGTTCTCTGTGCTCTGTGAGTCGGCTCCCCGAGAGCTCAAGGCAAACTACGCCTTCAAGATCTACGGTACGGCCCGCAGGGGCTGCGCTGATGGTGGTGGGGACACTCGGGGACGCCAGGGGCCCTGGGAGCGTGCCTGTCCCGTGGGGACAGACAGTGTGCGAGCGACACTGCGGGGTCCTGGCTCCTGGCGGGGGCTGGGGGTCCCTGGACAGGACAAGGCGGGGGCGTGCCCAGTGGAGGGAATGACAAGGAGGTGCCAGGCCTGGGGAGGTGAGACACAGGTGGTGTGAGCCCAGGGAGGTCACAGGACAGGCTGTGAGGAGCCAGCCAAGGAGTTTGGACCTGGTGCCCAGGACTTCGGGTCCACTGCAGGGGTCCGGGTAAGGCAGGACAGTTTTGGGCTCTGGAGAGGTCACTGGGCGTCCTGGAGGTGTGGACCAGAGGCCAGCAGCTGGGGAGGGGGCCTCTGCCAAGCAGCGAGGCTCCCAGGGCCCCCACACCTTAGGGGTGGAGATGGGCAGCCTGGCTTCTCATCCCAGCTCCTCCCACAGCCGTGGTCACACGGCCACCAGAGGGCGCTGGGCCCCCAGAGGAGAGCCCCTCACAGGCTGGGCCTGCCCTGGGCAGGTAGTCCTCAGTGGGGAGGGACATCGAGGCCCAGGGAGGGCCTGGGACCCGTCCTGGACCACAGGAGCCACGGATACACCTCCTGTCCCAGCACTTTTGATCAGCCAGTGGCTCCCGAGCCTCTCAGGCTTTTTCACTTTGTAGCAGGCCTGTCCGTTCCAGAGGCCTGGTCTGGGCCCACGCACGCACCCCTTGTGGTTGCTGGTCTGCCCTCCAGTCCTGGGGCCCCGGCATCGCTCCTGGGGAAGGCTGTTGTCTGCCAGGCGGGGGCGGGGGGGGGGGGGGAGCCGGGCAGGCGGGGGCAGGTAAGGGGGGCCCAGGCCCCTTGCTGCCCTGGCTGCGGGACAGAGGGGGTGTGGTGCTGGGGAGAGTCAGGGCCCCACTCCGGCAGGGGTCACCCCTCCTGCGCCTCAGCTTGTGCACGTGAAGCGGGCCCAGGAGTCCAGCCATCAGCCAGCACGTGTGCACGGAGCCTACTGGGCGCCCCTGTGGGGCGGAGAGGAGTCCTGCCTGGCCTGTCCCGGAGGCGGTGCTGTGGGCCCCAGGGGGAGACGCTGGGCTCTGGAGTCCAGCACCAGCTGGGCTGCCCGTGCAGGGCCCTGCCGCTTCGTCGTGCCCAGTGGGGACCCTGCTGGGCCTGCCAGTCGGCTTGGGTGGGGCGGGGCAGGCGGTGGAGGCCGGCCTTGCCACCAGCAGCCACCTCTTCACTGCAGCGGCTGGGTGTGGCCTGCGCAGGGGCTCAGCAGGCAGAGCCCAGAGGCCTGGAAAGCCCCCCTGAAGGTGGTGTTTGAGCTGAGACTTGCGGGGCCAGTGGGAATTTGCTGGACAGACAAGTGGGGGGCAGTCTGGGCAGGAGAAGGCCAGAGATCTGGGAGCGGGGCTGGAGATGGGGGCACATGTCAGGGTCACTGCCGTGAGCCACACGCCTCTCTGGGCTGTGTGGCTGCGCTGTGGGCAGTGGGCTCAAACCATGCGCCCAGCTCTGTGCGCGAAGGCCAGCCTGGGCCTCCCTCCGATGGGCTCCTGAGTCTTCTGATGCCCTCGGTGCCTGGCAGGCGGCCTGCGGGCGGTCGCATGGTGCAGTTTAGAGAGGGGGGGTGCAGACTGGCCAACAGGCTCGGTCGGTGGCCCGGCTCCCGCTCCAAGCCACCCTCGGACCTGGATTTAGTCACTTGGCCTTTCCTCTGTTCCAGGGGGGCACAGGGCTCGCTGCGGGGTGTGGCAGGAGGGCCCGGTGTCCCCACAAGCCTCAGATTCAGACTCTGAAGTATCAGGTTTGTACCCGTGCATGCTTGACGGGGTCATAAATGCTAACCTGGCAGATGTGATGCCTGTGGGTGAGGCCCCTTGGTCCCTGCTGGCTGGGCACAGGGCCTGGGGGCCCCAGAGTGAGAGTGGCCTGAGGGCCGTGGGGTGCCAGGCGGGACCCCCGGCCTGAACACCTCCACCTGCCCGCAGACTTCAACACAGACAACTTTATCTGCAAGGAGGACCTGGAGCGGACGCTGGCCCGGCTCACCAAGTCTGAGCTGGACGACGACGAGGTGGTGCTCGTGTGCGACAAGGTCATCGAGGAGGCCGACCTGGACGGTGACGGCAAGCTGGGCTTCGCCGACTTTGAGGACATGATCGCCAAGGCCCCCGACTTCCTCAGGTGTGGCCCTGTGGCCGTGGCCGTGGCTGGGGTCCCGGGGACAGCTGGGCGCCCAGCCTCCCGCCTTGTCCTCGGAGTCGGTCAGTTGTGTCCTCCGCTTCCTCCCTAAGGGACCGTCCAGCGCTGGGCCAGGGCCTGTTGGCTTTCTGCCAAGGGGCCCTCACCCAGACGGCCCTTCCTCTCTTTCTAGCACCTTCCACATCCGGATCTGAGGGCCCTGCCGAGGGTGCAGGGCCCAGAAGCTGATCATCTGGCTCTTCTGTCCACACAAGTGACCTCCAAGCTGCCCAGAGAAGACACCGTGGCCTCTGGGGCTGTACCCACCAACCCGTCCTCGGCCCTTTCAGCAAAAAATCCGTAACCGAGGAAGGGGGGTGTGAGGGCAGGGCCCTTCCCAGACCCCCGGCCCCGCCACAGGCCCCCCCGAGCTCCCCAGACCCCCGTCCTCTCCCCACCAGAAGGGAAGGCACAGGCCTCGCGAGGCAGGGGATACAGACGCGTCCAGTGCTGGGCAGGCGGCTGGTCCCGTTGGCCCAGGGAAGCGAGACACGAAAGAGGCCGAGGCTTGACGAGCTGTGGGGTCTTTCTCCAGAGCCCAGCGTGAAGCTGTGTGGACGGCTCCGTCCCCGTCCCTGGTGCTGGGCCCCGGGCGCCCCTGCCCTCCCCGAGACCGAATGCTCACTGGTGCGTGCTGTCCACACACTTGTGAGCTCCCGGCAGTAGAGCACGTCCGCGTCCCTGTGCTCTGCCTGCCATCGTTACCCTGGCCCTTGAAATCCCACGACTAGCGCGTCACCTCAGGGTCAAGTGTTGCCCTCCTGCTTTGGGTACAGACTTTTATTTCAATGCTTGTGTCTTTGAGAGGAAGACACATGGGTGCCCCAGATCTCCAAGGTGACAACCGTGTCCATTCCCCTCATGACAGCGGTCATTCCAGTGACAGTTTGTGGAGCGCTTGCTAACCCCATGTCCAGCCCCTGGGAGGTAGGGGCTCCCATGGCCCCACTTCTCGGGGGAGAGGCTGCCAAGGACAGAGTCCCCACAGGTGTGAACTGAGCGAGCTGGGGACCGCGGGCGGGGACCCAGGGCGCTCTCCCTGGAGAGGGTCAGTCAGCCCTCTGCCTCCGGCGCCTGCTCAGTCTTACAAGGGGGGCACATGGCTAAGAGGGGAGGTGGGACGGAACAGAAGGGACCCTGTGGGCGGGGACCCAGGGGGCGCCGGAGACGGGGTGCCTGCGTCCAGAGCTGGCCCTGGGGCAGGGCCGCCGGGGCCGGTCTGGGTCTCGGGAGAGGTCTGCCAACTACCCTAGAAGCCAAGACTGGCCGGAGGCAGCGGGCGGGCGCGGGGCACCCGGCCGCCTGGGGATGGGCAGTGAGTGCCCGCCGGCTGGCTGCAGGTGCGGCCCACGCGTGCACCCGGCTGAGCCCCGCAGCCGGCCCGGCCCGCTGTACGAGGGGTCGGTGCCCGGGCTGTCGCCGGAACATCGAGCCGCCGGCTGCTCCCCTCTGGGCCTCGGCCTCCCCATCTGCACCAGGAAGGGCTGGATCGGGGTCTGCCGGGCTTGCAGGGTGTGGCTGGGATGAGGGCCCCCCGGGTCCGAACTGGGGCCTGGCTCCGGCCGCCCGCCCCTTTCTGCTGACGGGAGGGAACTGGCCGGGGCTCGGGGTGTCGCTCCACCCACGGGACAGCTGCCCCAGCACAGGGCTGGCCGCGGGCTCGGCGAGGGCTCAGCGAGGGCCATAGGGTGAGGGGCGGACGGGCTGGCCGCTCAGTGAGCTCAGGCCTCCACCCCCCTGGGGGTGAGTGGGGGGTCCTGGGGAGTCGGGGTGGGCAGGGGCTCCCCAGGAAGGCCACCCGGCTCTCCTCAGGATCTGTGCTTCTTGTCTGTGAAGAAGATTCTCCGGAGCTTGTCAGGCTGCAAAGAGGGAGAAGACGCTGGAGGCCGGGGCTAGGGAAGTGGGGGGGGGGGGGGCAGGAACCGCCAGGCTGCGGTACCGGGGGCCGCTCCACGAGCCGCACGCTGCCCCGCTTCCCACCTCCAGCCCCCGTTCTGGGTGGAGGATCTGTCCCCTCTGCCTCCCAGAGGTTGGGTGCGGCTGGGCCAGTGCCCCGGGGGGTGGGGGGGGAGGGGGCTGCCGTGGGATTCCTAAAGGGTCTGCCCACGGGCAGGGTCTGTGGCTCCAGGAGAGCCAGGACCGGAGTGGCCCCCCTGCCCCGGGGG